AAAGGAAAGGAAAGGAAAGGAAAGGAAAGGAAAGGAAAGGAAAGGAAAGGAAAGGAAAGGAAAGGAAAGGAAAGGAAAGGAAAGGAAAGGAAAGGAAACAACTCCAGAGAGCTTGAAAAGCAAAGCTAGTTGTCAGCCCCAATGAGCAATGGCTGCCATGTCTTACCTAGAGAAAAGTCTGACTTGAAGATGGCATAGAACGCCATCTGCCATGCCAGTTGTCATCTTGTTGGCTGCAAGCATCAGGGTAGGATATTATTCCTCTTAGTATAAGAAAGAAAGTGTGACCAATATATAGATATTTATATGAGCTTCAATTTGTTGTTGTTGTTGTCGTAATTCTGGGAACTGGTTTTTAAGATCCACAGTGGTTTTGGCTTATTATGATATATATATATATGGCTAAGACCCCTTTGATGGGGGAGCTTATCATACTTGTATGGGAGTGTGGAACACTAAGACTGTAGGATCTAATCAGTTGTTTTATTATGATAATGAATTCACCTACAATATTAGCAACTACAATAGAATCCTCAGAAAATTCATATGATGGCCCAAGAAAATAATCCTAATCATTTTTTCTCACTGACATTAAAATTTTAAGAATTAGATAATTGTTTTTATTGCCAACCCATCTGTCAATGGTGTTTGTGAGCCTCACTCTGTCTCTATCTCTGTCTCTGTCTTTATCTCTGTTTCTCTCTCTCTCTTTCTTTCAAACACACACACACACACACACACACACACACACACACACACACACTGACCTAAAAGGCAAAGCCCAGTGAAGAATAAGAAGAGCAAATGCTTTCTGAGCAGTGTTTATCACCACAGTCCCTTCCTTCATCATTTCCTCCCTTGGCACGTCATCATTTGGAAATGGAGCATCAGTACTTGAGGGGCTCCCACTGAACCATATTATCAGTGACAGTGAACTGTGGGCGAAGCAGACCTTCTCTTCCCAAGGACAAGCTCTAACTTTGATTATGGTTGACTGTTTGAAACAAAGTCCAAAGATTGATACCCACCCCACCCCACCCCTTTAAAAAAAGTCTAATTAGTGTTCCTCTATTGGAGAGGAAGCTGGGCATGAGGCTCCATCACTGCCAAATGAAATTAAGGCCCAATTATTGATAAATGAAGAGTGGTTTGTGCTGGAGCCTGGCCTGGAGTCGCGGAAATACATCTGTCATTTGGCCTGTACAGGAGTCGTTCATGTGTGACATAGCATCCTGTGCATTTATCATGCATCTGTAGATTTTTGTTTTAATTCACTTAACTGTCTAACTAGATTCAGTGCTGGATGCCTCGAATGGAGTCAGGATTTGGACTGACAGATGCAATTCCAGTCTGAAATGATGTGTGACAGGGCTAGCTAGCTTGCATATTAATTATTACTGAAACCATTATAGACAGTGCTTTTCCACTAATGGTTGATTCTCTTATCTGTTTTTGTGGCTTCTATGGCTAACAATTGTCCAGTTGCTCCAGGGCAGGTAGGATCAATGGACCATTGTTGTCAAGTGCACTTACTATTACCATGAAAATTAGAATGGAGGTGTTTGAAAGGCAGGAATGAAAATGCCCCTGTCTTACCATCATGCAAATGACAAATCCTATGAATGAGGGACACTTTTCATAAATCCTAACTAGGTAAAAGAGTTTATTAAGTCCATTGTCAAACACAAATTGAAAACAAACATTTGTTAAGTTGATAAAAGAAAAAAGGAAGAAAAGAAATGTCTACAGGACATTTCCCATCCGAGCTTGGCACACAATGCTTAGTTTAGGAGTATGTAACGACTTAATTTAAAGTTCCTGTCATGTTATCACTAGGTTGTATAAATGTTTAAAATTATTGTTACCTTCTAAAAGAAGCCATTAACACTTTTTATTTTATTTTATTTTATTTTATTTTATTTTTTGCTTCAAAGTTCTGAGAAAATGTCCTGTCTGTAGGACTTTAATGAGATCACTTCCGAGGGCAATGATCCTGCCTCAGCCTCTATAGTTCTCCTTTGTTATTTACATATTTGTATTTTTCTGGAGCTCATGCAGCCCTACCCTCTCTCTGTTTTAATCATCCAGAAACACCAGAAAGACCAGCAAAAAAGAAAAGAAAACCCATTCCAATCACAGAGGATTGAGTGAAGAAAGCATTGTTGAAAGGT